ACTCTTTCCTAAATAGTCCTTAAACTAATGAAATTTTATAAATTATTTATAAAGTATTAAATATCTATCAATTTAGTTCCTAGGTTAATAAATTTTACTAACACTGAGAAATTAATTTGAAGAATTTTTTAATATTTGAGATACTATATGATTTCTAATACTTTAGAAATTATTTATAAATTTCAGTATTTTAATGACAATTTAAAAAGGAGGGTGATACTTTAAGGACCAAACTGATGATTCATTCATTAATTATTAGTGTAAAAAATTACATTATGAATGAATCATATTATTATTTGAATTATTTTAAAAATTATTATTATACTATTTATTCTTAGGTCAGTATGATTTGCTAAAAATCTTTATGTTAGATAAGATAAATATAATTATTCTACATTTGATTTATAAAAAGAGAATCAAATAAAAATTACAATTTTATTACATGTAAACTGTGGGTTAACTTTTTATTACACCCTAAGTGTGGGTTTGAACTATAAAAGTTCAATCCAAAGTTAGACTACTAGAATAAAACTGATCGAGGGATTGAGAGTAAAGCACTTCAATTTTCTTATTTTCACTTCTGATGTTTGAGAGGAAATTAAAAAGAGTTTTTGGCTAAGTAGCAAGAAACATACCATATTAGTGAACCACACCCCATTAATTCAGAGCTCATCATCATAAGGTAAGAGGGGAAGTGGGAATTGTCCTGCATATGGGTGTGTATAAAGATTGTAGATGATGAAATCATCCCTAAAATTCTTTAGATTTTTTTATGTATGCAAATAAAAGGGCTATAAACACCCTGAAGCATGCCTTGATAATGTGAATTTGGTAGTTATTAATGGAATTACTAAAATGACTTAAGAGATCTAAGTTTCTGGCCTTTTTTTTTTTTTGGGTATTTAGGGTTCTTATGGGGTTAAATCGGTGTTTGTGTAATTGTCATTTGGTTTGTTTATATTTTTTTATGTTAAAATAATGATAGATTACTTTGGTTTGTTTATATTTTTTTACTGGCACTAAAAGTATATGAAAACTGAATTTCTTTTTTTGTCACCACATTATTAATTGCGAAGTATCTATGGTTCAAAAGATATGAACCTAATTCCATTGGGATTAAACAAAAGAAAGGCACCGAGGTTAAATATTTTGATAATGTAGCCACATTAGGAATATTAAAGTTGGAATTGTTGGATCACGAAAGGGTCAACCCCAAGGCATGTATTTGTGCACTGATTGATCGGAGGAATATGATAAAGTCAAGTCAAATCATACAACCTTTTGAGGACACAAACCAAAAGTTGTTGTTGCCAATTTGGCATCAATATCATTATCATCATCGTACTAATCCCTTCAAACAAAGCAAGGCATAGCATGTCCTCTGCATAATAAACGAATATGCCACGACGTCACACGTGTATTACAAGGCACCTACGTGTACGAGGTGGGGCATAGCCACGTGTCATTCCACTAACTTCCCATGTTGTGTTCACCGAAAAGAACTTCCCCTTTTGCTTCTTCTCCTTCTTCTTCATCCGCATTCTTCCTTGTTATTCCTTCATCATTCCAACTCCTATCATGGCGTTTGGACTCAGGACCAAAAGTTTTGGCTTCATAGAACCAGAGGCTGAGTTTGTGAGTACACTTCAATGGTGGAACAAGATTGATGACTCGGATCAATGGCAGAGAGGCACTAACTATGCCCTTTGTGCCGCTTATACCTTGGTTTCCTTTGTTGCCCTGGTTGGTCTTTTTCCTTTCATTTTCTGGGAAAATCATCATCCTTGAGAAAAATGGACAAGTTTTTTCATTCGGAAAATAACTTAGATACAGATCAACAACTAGAAATTTTGTTATTCAATTAGAACTAGAGTTTTATTTTACTAATTTGCCTAATAAAGGTTTGCATTAAAAGATTATATAGATTTCCAAGATGAAACTCTAGTTTTGATTGAAAATAGTATTAAGTTATGTCACTATCAATGGACAGGTATTGCTTTGCGATGACTTTTCTCTTTTGGTTTTGATCTGAACTTATATAGTACACAATTGACACCCCATCACATCAAATCTCAAAAAGGTTAAAACTTTAACCTCTAACCAGATTTTAATGATCCAACACTGATGTTTCTCCATGTGGGTCATTGTTTTGCAACCCCTATGAACAAAGGTTTTTTCTTGCTAAACGTAAACTGTTATCTTTTGCAGCTTGAGATGTGAATTTTGTAAGGAACTTGGAAGAGTGTATGCTTATGGGTGTTTGTTTCCGAGCCAAATTTTCTGAAATGGATGATTAATCATAATCTGTTTATTCTCAGGTGCAACTGGTGCGCATTCAAATGAGGGTACCTGAATATGGTTGGACAACGCAGAAGGTTTTCCACTTAATGAATTTTCTTGTCAATGGATGTAAGTTAGAGTAGTGAATGTTCTATAAACAGCTTTGTTAGCTTATTTATTTTTTATTTTATGGTTGACGAATCCGTATTACATTTGCAGTGAGGGCTGTCCTTTTCGGTTTATACAAAAGTGTTTTTGCAATTAGACCAAAGGTATTTTTCTCTTCTCAAATCTTAACACCTGGAGTTTATCCATTAGTCCTGTTTCTTCATTTCTTGCTTTGGAAGCTTAGGAAAGTATGATAAAAATAGAGCGTATCATGCATTAGCTAAGCTTGGATTTTGGGTGTGTGAATTGGGAATGGATTATGTAAATAGTTTACTTCCATCAAGATTTTGTACTTTTTAGGTCAATTGCATTTTGTACCCCGGTATATGAGGCCCATTACCCATACTATGATTATGTTTCTATATATTCACGTTTTGACCAATTATCATCATGTTCTAGGCACTAGAGCAGGTGCTAATGGAGGTTCCTGGTCTTCTATTTTTCTCTACCTATACATTGCTTGTCTTGTTCTGGGCTGAGATATATCACCAGGTATATTTACTTTCTTTTATATATATATATATATATATATATA